GGGGGGGGCGCTGGGGCGCAGCCATGTGGGCGAGCGTGGGTGTGCATGCGTTGGCATTGTCACTCCTTTTTCTTTCCTTGCCGTCACTTTTTCTCCCGTGGAGTCCTCTGGCTTGCATCCCCCATGACGTCAGGTTGTCACCCCTGCTGTCCCGCTGCTGCCTCATTTCCTCACCGCTGCCCTTACATCTCCCTCGCCCTCCTTTCTACCTCTTCTTTCTTCCCTGCCCTTCCCCCAGTTTTTGTACAGCCCCCCCCGAGTGTCGTTTCAGGGATGTTTCTACTCTTTTGCAGTTTGCGCACTAGCACGCCAGCGTTATTCCACACTCCCGCCACATCACTTTTCTTAATTGCCTCGGCCTCGTGTCCGTCTTTCCCTCCAAGACGGATGCCTGAACTGGAGCTTCATGCACCTGGCCTTCTCTGTCTTAAAGTTTTGCTTTGCTTCTCTGTATCCCTGAACAGTCAAAGACCATCGGATCCTGATTCTTTTCCGCTTTGTACCCCCTCCTGATCCCCACTTCTCGACAATTCCTTGGTCGTTTCTCACAACAAAAATGAGAGTCTTTGAATGGTACATCCGTCAGGTAGCCACACCAACATCAGCTCCACAGCAGTCTCAGATGAAGCGTGCACTGGGAAGGCATGCCTCGGGGTATGGTTTAAACTGCACGAGGTCGCGCCTACCGAACCTCCTCAGGAACCTTGAACCCGGGTTTGACAGATGTCAGAGCCAAAAGAAAAAGATGCTACAACGCTGTGATGCAGACCCTCCCACAACTGCAAACCAGCTAAGGCTTAGCTGCTCGAGAGAGTCATAATGAACTAGCGAGCTGTTTTGGAATTCAAAATGCTTTTGGAGGATTCAGAGGTATTTCCACCCACAGAGGCATCACTGCTCCCACTTCAATTACTTACACCATTTTGTAAATTCTGGATGGAAATTATTATTACGGTTCTCGTCATTGCACCCCACTGTACACATAAGAAAAAAATAATTTTTCTCCCACAGTTTTTAATCCTCCACTCTATGTTAATTTTATTATTTTAAGGTTACGTCACTTTGTGTCCTTTTACATTTTCAGGGTACATGAAAATTTCTGTGAGGATGCTTATTTGAATGGATCTTGAGAGGAAGGCTTATTATGCTAAGTCAAATGCATTATCAAAATTCAGACACTGACATGCACTTGAGACATAAAATTTATTTTCAATGAAGTTGTTAATTAATTTTTCTTCCTCAAGGTAATTTTAGACTTTTATTGAAAAGCCCATTCAACAAAAAACTACAGTATACAAGCTGTGGAAATGTACTGTGCTTTATTCCATTCCTTTGTAGAAACTTGGCAATGTTTTCCTCTATTTTTTTCAATTATTTTAATAATGATGAAATGTAAGAATTATAGAGCAGTCTCATTTTTCCTTTTCTTGCTGACAATTGGTAATACATTTCCTTTGCTTCAGTATTCGATCTCTTTTCAAAGATTATGTTGGAAGAAATTAATCCACCAGCTTCAGTAATAAAAAGTTATAACTGTTGGATGTGGAGACTAACTTCTGCATCTCTACATTTTCTGAATACTTCCTATCAACGGGCTGTAAATAACTATTTTATAAAGTTTAGAACAGTACAGAATCACAGAATGGTGAGGTTGGAAGGGAGCTCTGGAGGTCATCTGGTCCAACCCCCCTGCTCAAGCAGGGTTACCTAGAGCTGGTTGCCCAGGACCATGTCCAGATGGCTTTTGAGTATCTCCAAAGAGGGAGACTCTCTCTGAGTCAGCCTCACTGTAAAAAAGTGTTTCCTGATGTTCAGAGGGAACTCTCTGTGTTTCAGTTTGCGCCCATTGCCTCTGGTCCTGTCACTGGGCACCACTGAAAAGAGCCTGGCTCCGTCCCCTTTACACCCTCCTTTCAGGTATTCATACACATTTATAAGATCCCCCTGAGCCTTCTCTTCTCAACAGTCCCAGCTCTCTCAGCCTTTCCTCCTAGGAGAGATGCTCCCGTCCCGTCATCATCTTCGTGACCGTTCGTTGCACCCTCTCCAGTATGTCCATGTCTCTCTTGTAATGGGGAGCCCAGCACTGGACACAGTACTCTAGGTATGGCCTCACCAGTGTGGAGGAGTTAACCTGCTGGCAGCACTCCTCCTAATGCAGCCCAGGATACCATAAGCCTTCTTTGCCACAAGGGCATACTGTTGGCTCATGTTCAACCAGGACCCTCAAGTCCTTTCCTGCAAAACTGCTTTCCAGATGGGTGGCCCCCAGCACGTACTGGTGTCTGAGGTTGTTCCTCCCCAGGTGCAGGACTTCGCACTTCTTACTGAACTTCATGAGGTTCCTGTCCGCTCATTCCTCCAGCCTGTTGAGGTCCCTCTGGATGGCAGCACAGCCCTCTGGCATATCAGCCGCTCCTCCCAGTTTTGTGTCATCAGCAAACTTGCTGAGGGTACGCTCTGCCCTATCATCCCATTAATGAAGATGTTGGACAGGACTGGCCTCTGAGGTAGAGCACTAGTTACTGCCCTCCAACTAGACTTTGTGCCACGGATCACCACCCTCTGGGTCCAGCCGTTCAGCCAGTTTTCAGTCCACCTCACTGTCTGCTCATCCGGCTCACACTTCAACAGCTTCTCTGTGAGGATCTTATGGGAGACAGTGTTGAAAGCCTTACTGAAGGCCAGGTAGACAATAGCCACTGTTTCGCCCTTGTCTACCAAGCTAGCCATTTCATCATAGAAGTTTATCAGGTTGGTCGAGCATGATTTCCCCTTGGTGAATGCATGCTGGCTACTCCCTACCACCTTCTTGTCCTTCATGTGTCTGGAAATGGTTTCCAGGATTAGTTGCTCCATCATTTTCCCACGGATCAAGGTGAGGCTGACTGGTCTGTAGTTCCCTGGGTCCTCCTTCCTGCTCTTATTGAATAAAAACGGGGGTTTATTCCATAATGTTGCCTTGCCAGCACTTCCCTGCTTACATGCAAATGCTTGAGTTTGGCCTAAGCCTTGATTTGTTGATTTTGTGTTCCCTTTTGTTCACATCTTCCCAGCCCCGATGCTTGTCAGCCCTGTGCATCACTCCCTCACAGGGCTGCTGGTGACTCTCCCTCCTGCATCATTCCTAGTTTAAAGCTCTTCTTACCAGGCCAGCCATCCTGCTGGCAAGGATGCCTTTGTCCTGCTTAGTGAGGTGGATCCCATCTCTCCCAAGCAGTTGTTGATTCTCAAACAAGGTCCCATGGTCATGGAAACCAGACCCCTGTTGCTGACACCAGCTCCTCAACCACTTGTTGACACACAGTCTTTTCCTCCTCCTCCTCACACCATTTGCCCTCACCAGCAGGATTGAGGAGAACACCACCTGGACCCCCATACCCCAACTATCACCCCCAGAATGAACAGTTTGCAGATGATGTTGTTTTTTTTTTTTTAAAGTGTCTTAGTAGTTTCTAAAATTACTGTCATGCCTCTCTTTCTTAATGAATAGGTCCATAGCACATCAACAGCATCCTTCTGACATTGCAGGTGGTGGAAATATCAATCTAACACACTGTTTAAGTTGCTCATAACTTGGCCAAACTGTGATAGCTTGGACTGAAATTTGTACTTCTTGTTCAAAAAGTTCAGCAAAAGATACTTAGTCCTGACAACGAGATGAGAAAAAAAAATGCTTTTGTTTTCCATCATTTGAATTTGTTTTAGGACTTGCCTTTGTAAGTTACAGTGACTCTGTGTTTTTGAATGGAAAGTTGAAAATTAGCTGCAATAGAGGTATGTGTTTTACAGTTCCTATTTCGGGGGAGAACAAAAAGCACCCCTCAAAGCTACTAGCAATCACATTTCACCAAGTAATGGACTTTTGAAAAAATATTGTTAGCACATGGTCAGTAGAGAAATGATCTGAAGGTGCCGTCTGGAGGTGCGCCGAGCATAATCCAGCTCTTGCCTGCTGTTCGAATCCCGTGTCTGTCATTCCTGCACCAGCACCACGGGCCAGTCCAGCTGGGGACAGACAAGCAGGTCACCTTTGCAATTGCAGTTCTTCTGGGTCACTGTGGCACCAGTCACCGGTGTTTGGAGGGAGAAGACTACCCCGTCAATGCTCTTCTGTGTGCCTCCTCCTGCCTGAGTTGTAACAAAGGCAGGAAGCAGAGGATGGCTGGGGAGCATGGGCTTTGCCAAATGCAAGAGCAGGGACTGAAACATCCAGGGTGAAGACACTTGTCGGAAGGGGATGAAATACGGGGGACAGAAGCCAAGAGAAAACTGTGGCTGAGAGAGAGCAGAAAGACCTGGCAATGGGTGTTTCGTACCCCTCTGATTCGTACTCCGTGTGCTTTGCCTGCTGCTGCTCCGGCTCCCCACGCAGAAGGCATCCGAGCTGAAGCCCTGGAGAGCCACACCTGCTTCTTGCTGGCGTCAGTCAGAGTGGCTCTGTGGGACAAAAGCGCTATTCCCCAGCCTGGGGTTTATTGCTGTTTTACTTTTGGAAGGAAACTGAAACCCATTTGACAAAAGACAGTAAAGCTACAAAGTTAAGCAAGGAAAAGTTACGAAATACTATGAATGAGACTTGTAATCTTGAAGTTCAGCCCCCTTAAGTGTAGCGGTAATTACACATTTCTTAATCAGATGATCACATATTCGTCTTCCCACAAGATCCTGCCTTTTTTCAGCAAATGTGCAGCTCAAGCTATTATTTAATGTGTGTTATATAACCCTTGGCGTAGATGCGGAATTATTCATTCCCTTCTTTCTTTAGGATCCTGTGGGGTTTTTACAATTATGTACCCATGGATCACAAGCATTAATGAATGTATTTTATCCAGCATCATGTGCAAACAGCTGGGATTATCATCTCCATTCTGGGGATGGGGAACAGAGGCAAAATGAGATTAATGCTACTGTTTTCAAGTGTCTGCTGATTCTGGGTAGCTGCCTTGAATGTACATGCGTTTCTTTTCCAGGGAACTTACTGTTTTTGCAAGTTGGGTGGGACTTGAGACACCTGCATGAGGCTGGGACATGTGGCACAGGAGCATGGGAGCTATTTTATGGAGCTATTTTATGCCCCTGGCTTCAGGGGAGGTTGCTCCTGCAGATCTTGAGTGAGAGGAGATGTCTTGCTGCAGCGTCAGGCCGGCAGCCTGGCCTCCTTGGAGGGGTTGGGTTTGAACCCCACCTCTTATCTTGGTTTCCCACCGGTGAGCGCAGGTCATCGTTCATTGTGTCCTGTGAATTTCTCTCCTTCGGGGACTAATCCCTCCCATGCTCTGTGTGGGCATCGCAGGCACCCAGCTCCATCTTCTGAATCCACCAGGAACCTGCATGAGGTTGCGCAGCTCCTAAAGATCAAATACTTTGTGATTTTTATAACAAGTATCACCTTTATTCGCGGGGCTGTCTTTTACAATCCCAGCCTCTGGAGTCGTGTGATAACCTGAAAAATCTGTGCTTTCATTTCTTTGTGCAGAACCTGCTTACTCCATGCTGGCTGTGGACGAGGTCTTGAAATGTACTGTTTAAGGCTTAGATACTGAAAGACAGATCAGAAGAGCTAAAATTCATCATTGTTCTAAAAATGTCATGATTTTAAACCAACCCCAGCAAATTTGGAGTCCTGGGAATTGGCAAGAGTATGCCATAAGAATTCTAGATTAGCTAGGTAGAGTATATTTGATGATTTATGGATATGAACAACTTTTTCTACTTATAAAGTAGCTCCTTAGGGGCCTCGGGCTCTACTGAGAAACCTGAGGGGAAAACAGGAGTTCTGAAGATTTTACAGAGAGGACGATGTGCAAGGTGGCGGCATTCACCTGTCTGTAACAGGACACACTCATCCAATAGGCCAGTTCAAAGAGCAAATTGAGGTAACAGGTTTTGTAATTAGAAAATGTGGTGTTCACCGAAGCGGAAATATTTTGCAGATACAAATAAATTTCTGTAATTGTATTTTTTGGAAAAAATTGAGATAATACCTTTCAGTAAAGTGGAAAGGTTCTGTTTCAACAATTGCAGAAACTAACATTTCAATATAGCAGTTCCAAATGATTTCATGTACTGAAATTATTTTATATAATACAAAAATAATGTTGCAATATGGGTTTTTTTTACAGTAAACAGTATTTTTCTGGGGACATATTTTATAAAATACAGACATCTAGAAATACTCCTTTTTCTTCCAATTTTAGAAAGACATTTAAAGCTGCAGAATTTCCTTTAAAATGGAAAACTTAGGTCTTCTCAGGTCTAGCTGGACAAGTAAGAGACTTATTTGGCCTTAACCCTGAATTTAAACTATAAATTCTTCAAATTATAAATGGTCCTTCAGTGCACTCTTATACACACCCTGGCGTAATTGGGACCTTATCTTCACTGCAGCCTGTGCCTGTGTTGCAATTGTCATAAAATTGATAACACAATGATCTACCTACCACAGGCAGGTTATTTAAACTCTCTACTTACCTTCCTTATTGAAAAATTAAAGTTGTAACATTTATTTACAAAAGCAAGTTTAAAAAGTCAGAAAATCATAAACTAAAAAATGTAGCACTTGATCCACTGAGTCAGTGGAAAAATGGGCTTGGAATTAAGCCCTAAGTGTATGGTTGGATCTAAAACATAGAGGATTGATTGATGTTAATTACTTATACATTGCATTTTCTATTGTCAACAGCTACTTCTCAAGTAACATCTTCAGTATTGAATTAAAGGCAGTTTTACAAAATCCAGCAAGTTGTTTGGTTTTTTTTTTTTTGGAAGGCTTTTATTAAGAAAAAACAACTTACGCTGACTTTAATGGAAAGTATTGATAGTCTTGTAAATCCTTTAATCTAGAAGGAATCAAAACAGTTTATAGATTAAACATCTGCAGGGTACAGCAGTCAAATGCAAAATGCTGCTTCACCAACCTGTGTCCAGGAACGTTAGAGTAATGACATAAGAGGGAAGTAAAGAATATCTTTCCTATTAAAGCTGTGGAAGGTTATCTTGGAAAACATAAAAAACTTACTGTGGTAGGAAAGTAACAAAGGCTCCAGAAGTCATTGTCCCTTGATGTTCATGTTGTCCTGCAAGCATCTCCCAGCCCACTCTGAGAAACATGATGTTGAACCTGGGGAAAAAAAATTTCCAGTGGACAATTTATGAGAGAATGCTGTGAATTGAGATCACCGTGATTAATAATTTTAGGCAAAATAAAATTAACAAAATGCAAAGTTTTGATTAGATCCCGAGTGTGTCAAAAACTGGGTAGCTGACTAGGCTTAAATATATTAGTGTTCTACCATGCAAATATGACTTCTAATGAAGAAACTGAGAACAGAGTTTAGCACATGCTTGCTAGAGCCATTCTTGGTCTTGCTCGGTGGCTGGGGAGCCTCTGCCAACTCGCTGCCCTAGCTCAGCGTCCTGCTGCACGTAATCCTGCAGAAGTGGGGTCAGCCCTCTCCACTCCTGTTCTCTGGATGCTCCCTTGTACTGCTGATCCAGCCAAGGCTTCTTGTGGAGTCCTATGGGTTAAGGTGACATAAGGCAAATGCACAATAGGCTGTGTTATTCTAATGGAATATGAAGTATATCTGGAAGGACCTTATCAAGATAAGGAATTAGCTCACTAGAGCACTGAATTTTGTAGTGACAGTCACACCGGCTTGCTTCCGGATCTTTGTTTATCTGCCATTTTAAAAAGACTGGATGACAGCCAGCTGTTGGCTCTGTGAGAAGGCAAAAGAACAAGATGTCTACATTGGCAAAGAACTTTGCAAGTCGTAACTTGTGTTATAGTGACAAACAAGTATAGAACACAGAACCTAAATTTCAACTCAGAAAACCATTCCTCAGCCACATACACA